GGGGGGGGGGGTTGGGGGGTCCAGCCCCACTTTATCTCATCTGGGGGTCACAGCAGCTCCCCCCTGCTGGAGTCACCCAGTTGGGGGGATCATGACCCCATCATGACTGAGAGCCAGTGGCAGAAGGGGTCCTCGGAGAGCCACCCAGGAGGTGCTGAAGGGTCAAGGCCAGTGCTCGCAGGTCCCCCCGCAGCCCCCGCACCTCCTGTAGAAGGGCCTCCAGCTGAGGGGCCGGGCAGGGGTGGCAGCTGCCAGACTCCCCTCCCCACTGCTCCCCAGTTCTGGGCTTGGCTGGCGGTACTGCTGGTGGAGCCAGATCTGTGGGGCAAGATATAAAGACACCCCCTAAAGCACAGCCTTCCCCAAACCTGTGTCATTCCAAAAAAACCGCAGAATTTGGGGTGCAGAGGGGGTCCCCACATTCCACCACTCACCAAGTCAGCACCCACCCCCATGCTGCCCCAGAACTCTGAAATATGAGGGGTTGTCACCTCAGGACCCACCCTGCTACTGTGCCCCCCCACCCCAGGCTTACCTGCGCATGGGGCCCACGGGAGCACAGGGTCTGTTGGGGTGCGGACAGGATGGGTGCTGAGGGGCTCCGTGGGGTGCTGGGGAGGTGCTGAGAGGGTCTGGGTGCTGAGCATCATTGTGGGGTGCTGGGGAGATGTTGGGGGGGTCTGGATGCCAAGGGGGTCCAGCAGGGGCTGAGGATGTGTGCGGGGTATATGGGTGCTGAGAGACTCCATGGGATCCTGGGGGGATTCTGGGGGAGTTGAGGTGCTAAGGGTCTCTGTGGGGGCCTGAAGGGGTGTTGACGGTACATGTGGGCTGGGGACCTCCATGGGGTGCAGGGAGGCTGCTGGGGGGGTCTGGGTGCCATGAGGCTCCAGGGTGGGTTGAGTGGAGGCTGGGAGGCTATGGGTGCTTGTGGGTTCCATGGGGTGCTGAGTGGGTGCTGAGGGGCTCTGTGTACTGGGGCTCTCCTTGGGGTGCTGGGTGGATGCTGGAAGTCTCTGGGTGCTGGGGATCTCCTTGGGATGGTGGGTGGGGGCTAGGTGGCTCTGGGTGCTGGAGGTCTCCTTCAGGGACTGGGTGACTAGTGGGGGACTCTGGACGCTGGTGGGCTCTGGGGACCACTGGGGTGGGATGCTGGAGACTGGACCCAGTTGGACCGCAAGGGCAGGGGGTGTTGCTGGGATCAGGGTGGGGTTCTGTGATGGAAGAGGTGGTGGGGTCTGTGTGGGGGAAGCAGAGACCCCAGCAGGGCCTGGGTCTGGGTCCACATCTGGGGAGGGAAGGGACACAGAGGTCTGTGAGGCCCCTGCACCACAGTCTCCAGGCCACCCGCCCTGAGTGCTGGGTGAAGAACACTCCATTCATCCACCCACCCACCCACCCATCCACTCACCCATACATCCATTTCCCTTTCCTTGCCATCCATTCTCCCACAGATCCCCCCTTCACATCCAGCCATCAATCCCTTTCTCCTCTCTGTCCTTTCCTCCCTCCACCTTTCTGTCCATTCAGTCGCCCCTGCGCCCCTCAGTACCCACACCTACCCCCTACTGTCCTTCCACCCACCCCAACCCTCCAACAGTTTAGCCTTTTCCTGAAAATTTCTTCCAGGAAATTCCCTGCTTAGTACCATCTGGATCCAGACGTGCTGCAGGACGTGTGCTCCTCATGGTATCTTCTAGACTGAAATCTCTTAAAGAACCTGTGCTCCATGCGGCACCATCTGCACCCAGTTCTGCTGCAGGCTGTGCATACAGTGTGGTCCCACTGGGACCAGGTTCTGCTGTGGGATGTGCGCTCCACACCATAGTACCATCCAGACCCGTTTCTGCTGAAGAATGTGCGCTCTGCATCCTACCATCTGGATCCAGTTTCTCTGGAGGATGTGTGCTCCATGTGGTATCTTCTGGACTCAGTTCTGCTGAGGGATGTGTGCTCCATGTGGTACCATCTAGATCCAGTTCTGCTGCAGGACGTGCAATACTCACGGTACCTTCAGGATCCGATTCTGCTGCTGCAGGACGTGCACTACTCACGGTACCTTCAGGATCTGATTCTGCTGCTGCAGGATGTGCACTACTTGTAGTAGCTTCAGGGCCTGGTTCTGCTGCAGGACGTGTGCCCCTCAGGCTATCATCTAGAGCAAAATCTGCTGAAGAATGTGTTGTCCATCTGCTATCATCTGCATCCAGTTCTGATGGAGGACATGCGCTCTTCATAGTATCTTCAGGACCCGGTTCTTCCAGATTCTTGTTACTCCACGTGGTATCACCTGCTGGGACCACCATGGTGGGGGCCAAGTCCTGCCTTGTTTTCAGCCTGGTGCCTTGCGTGGTGCCAACTGGATCCTGCCCTACTTTGGCTTGTGTGTTATCAACAGGGTCCCATCCTGTTTGCCATTGTGTGAACTGGATGGCAACTGCCTCACCCTGCCCTGTTCGCGGTTGGGTGGCACCAACTGGATCCCGCCCTGCCTTGGGCTTGGTCCCTTGTATGGTCCCAGCCAAACCCTGTCCTGGTGGTTTCCTGGAGGTCTGGTTGGCACCTGCCAGAATCTGTCCAGCTTTGGGCTGGGGGATCCATGTGGTACGGGTTGGATCCTGCCCTGCTTTGGGCCGGGTGACACGGATGGTGCTGACTGGAGCCCATCCTGCCTTGGACCTGTTGGTGCTGGCTGGAGCCCATCCTGCCTTGGACCTGTTGGTGCTGGCTGGAGCCCATCCTGCCTTGGACCTGTTGGCACCAGCTGGATCCCGTCCTGCCTTAGGCTTGGTGCTCTGAATGATGCCAGCCGGATCCTGTTCTGCTTTGAGTCGGGTGATCCTGAGGATACGGATGGGATCTCGCCCTGCTTTCCCTTGGGTGGCACTGATTTGTCCCTGTCCTGTGGGGTGCTGGATGCTGCGGGTCGCACCAGTTGCATCCCATTGTATGGGGCTCGGGGTGCTGGGGGTGGTGCTGGCCTGACCCTCTCCTCCAGGGTGCTGGGTGCTGCTGGCCCGTGGAGAGGTCCCTGTTGGTGCCAGGAGGTGCCCTTGCCCTGCAGCAACGAGAGGATCGCTCAGCCCAGCTCTGGAGGAAAACCCAGAGCCAGAGGGGGAGGCATTCTTGGGGACAGGGGCTCTGGGACATGGAGAGGGACCCCAGCAGGGAGGGGAGGTGCAGCTGACCCCCTCCCAGCTCCCCGAGACCTTGCATGGGGGGACAGGGACCCCCACGGCCGCTCCCCCTACCCTCGCGGGGTGTCCTTGCGGCCGGCTGGCTGGCTGCTGTGCTCCAGGGGGAGCCGGGGCTGCGGGGCCGTGCAGAGGCGGGCACCCAGGCTGCCTTCACCCGTGGCGGGTGGGGAGTGGGCGCTGCAGGGTGGCCATCCAGGGTGGCCAGCTCGTCTGTGGGCAGAGGAGAGTGGCGTGAGCCCCTCAGTGTGCGCACTGCATGTGCACTGCACACCCCCACACTGCACGCTGCCCACACAAGCACTGCACAGATTCTGCGTCTCTGCACACTGTGCACACACACTGCGTGCACACACTACACACACTATACACTGCCCATGCACACAGTGCACAAACTTGGTGTCCCCATGCACTGCACACACGTGCTGCACACTCACTGCTGCTGTTTGCAGCATGCCCGTGCTGCACCCTATGGACCCTGCACCCACAGGGTTTGCACTTCAGCCGCCATGTCCCCGTGGCCACCCGCCGCCCCGAGACACCCGCCCGGGTACGGGGACCACACGCCCGCTGCATCACCCAGCGGGGGCACGGCCCCAGCCCCCCACGTCACAGGTACCTGCGCAGACAACGGCGGCATCCTCCCGGTGCTGGCAGTTGGTGACACCCCAGGGGGAAGCTGGGCACTCCAGCAGGGACGACTCGTTCCCTTGGCACCGCACATCGTCCAGCCAGATGGGCCCGGTTCCCTCACCGAAAAAAGCTGCCCGGGGTGCGTCGAGGGCGGCCCCGCAGCCCAGCTGCCGGCATACCACCACCGCATCCAGCAGCCCCCACAGGTCGTCACAAACGGTGCCCCAGTGCCCAGCATGGAAGACCTCCAGCCGGCCGGCGCAGCGCCCCGCCGCCCCCACCAGCCGCACGATGGGGGCTCCTGGGTGAGAGGCTGGGGTGACGCCACTGCGGGCCACGGCACCCATGGAGGGTACGGGTGCACACCGGGCACGTGCACACCCCACCTGTGCATGCTGTGCCCGTGCACACCGTGCCCATGCAGCCCACACCTCTGCACACCATGGTCGTGCACACCATGGCCGTGCACACCGTACCCGTGCACACCGTACCCGCGCACACCATGGCCGTGCACACCGTACCCGTGCACACCGTACCCGTGCACACCGTACCCAAACATAGCTCTGCATGCTGTACTTGCAGGCGCTGTCCCTGCACACACCCTACCCGGGCACGCTACGACCTGCACGTTCGGTACTTGAACACGTTATTGCCATCCATGCTCCACCCGTGCACGTCGTACCTGTGCACGCTGCACCCCCACATGCTGTAACGAGTGCCTGGGTGATGGTGGGCGACGGCGTGGGGGTCCAAGGGGGCTCACTGGTACCGAGAGGCTGGAAGTGGTGAGCTGTGGGGAGCGGCAGTTAGGCAAGGGGGGGTCCCAGCTTAGCCCCCACCCGCTTGCCACACACAGCCCACCTGAGCAGACAGCGCTGGCATCTTCTTCATGGGCGCAGACGTGGGGGCGCCAACCCCGGTGCCGGCACAGGGCCAGGCGCTCCTCCGTG